TGTGTTTACAGTGTTGCATATATGCTGAAAAGTGAAAAAAAGCATAACTACTAAAATAGTGGCCTGATCATGCTGATTTTCGAACTTGACCTGCGTTTTAGTAAGATCAATTTTTCCTGTGAGTTTCATGACAACAGGCCTATCGGTTTTGGTTGAAATGTGTTTACAGTGTTGCATATATGCTGAAAAGTGAAAAAACAGCATAACTTCTACAATAATGGCCCGGTCATCCTGATTTTCGAACTTGACCTGCATTTTATGAATATTCATCAGCTCTGTAAATATAAAGCCAAAAAGTAAAACTGCCTTCCACTTATTGTGTTTACAAGGAAAGTGCACGGCGCCGACGGCGACGGCGACAGCGACGACGGCGACGACAGACGCAGGTGATGGCAATATGTACAGACACATCTGTGTCTGTACATAAAAATTTGTACTCATTTATATGGTTGGAATTCTCGGTAAAAAAAGGACAGTTTTCTGATGCGTTTTCATTGACTGTCAGTATATTTTACTACATCCACTCACATCCCTTGTTAAATGTGGTGAAGTATTTTACCCATTGTTGAAAGAATATAAACACTGCTTGAAACTATCATGTAAATAAAACAATCTCCAATGAAACTTTTAAGTATTGAAATAATCTTCAAAACTCTACACTGATGATATTCTAAGAAATGATGAAATCAATAACATGTTTTTCTGAACATGAGGTACGTGCATTAATTTGATTTCATCCATAATACTCTTTGTATATGTTTCCAGCAATAACCAGTCTCTGTATTTCACTGGTGCCTTCATATATCTCTGTAATCCTGGCATCTCTGTAGTGTCTCTCTGCTGGCATGTCTGTAACATAACCCATGCCTCCTAGAACTTGAATAGCCTAGAAATATAATGGCAGTATGATCATGTACTTTGGTTATAATATTTGGCTTTATAAATAATCTTCTCTAAAAATCAAATGCATAATTCATTACAATTTTTGCAACTTTTCAAATCCTACATCTGACAAAGCAAATGAAATGACACAAAAAGCTTAATATATTTACAAAAAGAAAATGAAATCCCTGAATAGAAACACTTAAAATTCTAGAGTGCATCTTATATTATAGTGAAAAGGACAATTTTGACAATTCTATTGGCTAATTCAATTATTTACACACCTGATGTGCACAAAATGTTGCTGCCTCTGATGCTGCAAGTTTGGCCATGGCAGCTTCCTATAAAACAAATTGTACAAAATCATTAAAGTCTTTTTTTAAAATCCTAACAATGAATATTTATTATTATTCTTTTCCGTTTAAAGAAAACCCTTACATAATTCTTTTTAATGGAAAAAATTGTAAATTTTACAAATACTTTATTTATGTAAGCCATAAATTCTTCAAATAAGAACATTCCTACAATGTGGTAGCAACAAAATTGAAAAGCAGGCTACCCTTTAGTTCTATTCTTATGAGTAAAAATACCACAAGTACTATAATAGAAATATAAATTTTTAATGATTCTAAAGTTATATATTTCAATAGGATTGATAATTTCTCCCACTGAAAAGATTGAGTCATTACCATAACTGTGGTTTCTTCACCCTTTTCCCTGAAGTAATCCATGTAACATGAAAACTGATAGAATTATTTTTGGGGGTTACTGCCCCTCACCTCACCCCCTCCAAGAAAAATGATAAAAATAAAATAAAATAAATAAATAAATAAGACCTGACCAGTGTCATACCTTCGTGAAGTTAAGCCCATTATCCTTCAATATGGCTGCTTTCCACATCAACATCCTAGAGCTTTCTATTCTTAATGCCATATCAGCTATCTTCATCTGGATGTACCAAAAAAGTAATATTATAATTCTTTAAAATGACAAGAATGCCATCAGCAAATGAAAAAATCAACTTTGATATAAAGGGAACAGATAAAACAAAAGTGCTTCCATACCTGAATAGCCTGTGTTTTGGCAATGGGTGCTCCAAATGCTTCCCTCTTGTTAGCATAGTCTAAAGCACATTCAAGGGATGCCTATAAATACAGATATAACATCAATTTATTATCATGCACAGTCAATACTATTGCAGCATAAAAATACCTACTGCAAAAAATAATTTCCCACATAACTAAATTACATCAATTGCTATCCTGCTGCTATGTCACCTGCTCTTAAAGGAAAGGATTATGCTATTCCTACCAAATTCTTCATCAAATTATGAACTTGATGTAGAAAAGAGAAATTGTTGAATGTAAATATACATATCTAAAACATGACAGCACATTATGTACTTTGACCTGAAGATACCTGTGCAATCCCAACTCCCTGAGCAGCAATGCCTATTCTTCCTGCATCGAGGGTTTGCTGGAAATAAAGATTTTCAATATTCATGAGATTTATTATTTAACAGGAGGAAAAATTGGCTAAAAAGTAACAGACGCCATAGTATACATACATTTAGGGGGAACTTAGCATCAAATTGTTAAATATTTGCTCCAATTACAATTAATATAAAAGAAGATATAAATAACAAAAACATATTAAAAGTAGAAAATATTGCTAAAAATACATACCATGGCAATTTTGAATCCATTCCCTGGTGCCCCTAACAAGTTTTCTTTTGGTATGTGGCAGTCATCAAAATTCAAAGTGCATGTTGAGGTGGCCTTGATTCCAAGCTTGTCCTCTTTTTTCCCCAAACTCAGTCCTTCTGTTGGCATTGGAACTATAAAAGCACTGATACCCTAGGGACACAAATCACACATGGAACCAATACCATAACAGTTAACTTTTCGAACTCAATCAATCATCTTTTTCAAATTTTGCTTATATTTCAGAATTTTAATTCAATCACACATTAAACTGGTTTCACAAACCAAAACATAAATCATACCTTGCTAGGTATGTAAAGAAAAACTGTTCTCCTTAATATAATTGTCTTGAAACATAACTTCACTATTACCTTGTGATACTTAGATTTGTCTGTGGTAGCAAAAACCACAGCTGCCTCCGCTTCATAAGAGTTTGTTATCCAAGCTTTGCTACCATTCAGTACCCAGTGGTCACCTACAAGCTTGGCTGTTGTTGAGGCTGCACCTGCATCACTGCCATTACCTATTTATAGCAAGATAATATGAAATAAACTTGACATGCAAATTAATATTGAAAAAAAGATCATTGAAAAAAATGTTCACATTCAAATATGAATTAGTAAATTACATAAGAAAAAGTAAAAGTAAATATATCTTTTTTCAATACCTTTCAAATAAATTTAGAAATAAATTTACTTGCTGTACATATATAAAAGTGAGACATTTTATATAATTATAACCCAATTCAAAAAGTAAGCAAAGCAAATATATTGGACATCTTTTTAATCACTTTTAGCCTCTCCTTACCTGGTTCACTGAGTGCAAAACATCCCACTTTTTCACCATGAAGGAAGGGTCTAAGGTATTTCTCATATTGCTGCTCATTACCATTATTTTGTATAGGAGTCAAATATAAGGACTAAAAGAAAAGGTAGAGCAAGGATAACCTGAATTCTGAAATAATTATGATGTATTTTAAACAATTCAATTATGCCTGTATTGAAGACATGAGAACCACGTTTAACCAAATGTAAGCAAACAAAATAACGTACAACATTCTGACAGCTGTCTACAAGTTATATATTAAAATACTTCCTGAGTTATGTTCTTGGAATTTAGAAAAACAGTGTGAAAATTTATTTCTGCTATACATAAAAATAATCTTTCATTGATCTTTATTGTAAAAACTTACATTCATCACACTCATGATGCAACCTGTGGAGGCACATCCTCGACTGATTTCCTCTAAAGCTATGGCATATGCCAGGTAGTCTAAACCAGTCCCGCCTTCACTCTCAGGAACGGTAATGCACAAAAGGCCCAACTCTCCCAATTTTTTAAACTGTAAAATATAGAATTCAATCAGTGAGCAGTAAATGACTCTGTGGGAGACACAAGTGATTCTTAAACAACTGAAATTCATAATAATGATTTTTATGTATTTTATCTTGGAACTGTTTCCGTTTAAAGTCACTTTTCTTACTCATTTATTTGAAAAAAATTTACCTTGTGCCCTTAGAACAGAAGCTCTCTTTGTTTTAAAAAACTATAATATTCCAAGGACCAAATTCTAAATAAATAAACATAATGAAATAAAAATAATGTAACAATGCCCCCACCCAACACACATAAAGACATTAAACAGGAGTGATGCTGAAAGAAAACCCCAAATAGACAGGGTTACTTTCTAGAATTCTGTATCGTCACCTGCTCTGCTGGGAATCTGTGTTCTTTGTCTAACTGTCCAGCAATGGGTTTCAGTTCATTGTCTGCAAAATCTTTGCATGTCTTATGTAACATTTGGTGAGTATCTGATAGGGTGGCTAGACTCCCCAAACAGCGAACATTGCAGTCTGCGGGAATAAAAAGGAAAATTAAACTATCCATGCAAGCAATGCAGATACAGTTAGCAAAAGCATCATTTCAGTTTCAAGTCATACCCTGCAACCTGGCACAGATAAGGTGCAAAATGTAGAGTTCACTTTATTCCATTTATTGTGAGGTTCATATATTACTCTGAAGTAAATATATTGTTTACTGCATATATTCATGTACAACAGTTTACTGGCACCTTTATTACACATGTTTTGGTTGTAAAATATTTTAATTATTTAATTAAAATTAAAAAAAAATTGCAATACACTCCATAAAACTTTTGAGACAAAACCCTAAAATGCCTCTCGTCATTTAAAAATTGAATCCCATAAAACTTTTTTCATAACATGCATTCGAAGGACCATTTCACTTTTGTTAAGCAAAAGGTCGAGGTTAGATAACTTTAATCAGGGGTAATCCTAGAGAGGGGTGAGAAACGTCCATTGTTCTCGTCAGCGAGGCTGGCTTTTTTCAGGGTATGTACGCACAGACAGAAAACTAAGTATTGTGGGAACGTTACTAATGAAGCCACTGGTAGTACTAGTAGATATCAGCCTGTAGTCTTGAACAAGCGCCTCGATGACGAGTGAACAGTTGTCAAAAACAAAAGACCCAGGTGTGGTAGTTCAACTACTGTTCATGCGTGCCGCAACCACCGAGCCTAATTGCTCCTCAAGGTCACAAAACGATATCCGGTACTGACGGCCAGGCTCATCTTAATCATATAAGTAGCGCGTTTCCACCCCCTGCTTTAATGACATAACAATGCACTTTGGACGGCAGGTGCAATAAGTGGATTGACTTTGATAATAGCCAAAGAATAAAAACATTTGAATTATTATTGATATTTCACACAATTACCTTACCTCTTAACTTATTTAGAGGCGACGAGAAGGGCCGCAATCTCATGCACTTTCTAATTAGCGATGCCATCGCCATCGTTTCGTTGCTGACGGCCAATGCACTTTTAGTTTTTCTTCAAAGAGACTCCATTTACAAAAGAGTTCCACTTCCGCTTGGACAGAAAATGTGGAAGTGAAAAATGTTCAGTTAAAGTTATCTGTTTCAAAGCCCCCGAGTTTGCCCTTAGCTGAAAACTAAGACGCCAGGAAAAGGTTTTCTATTATTTTTACCTTTGTACAATTTAACTTTATCGATCCAGATGCGACTCAACGAAAGGAATTTAGTGTCATATGCGACCTGTAACTCGCCTGTTGATAAGGAAGGATATTTGATGAAGAAAGGAGAAATCAACAAAGGGTTTCAGAAACGATGGTTTGTGCTAAAAGGCAACCTACTATTTTATTTTGAGAAGAAAGGAGACCGAGAACCTGTCGGTTTAATTATTCTTGAAGGCTGTACAGTTGAATTATCTCCAGAATTTTCGGACACGTTTACCTTCGGTATTTCTTTCCAAGGCCCAGGTTGCAGGACTTACGTGCTACAGGCAGAGAGTCAGGAAGAGATGGAGAGTTGGATGAAAGCAATCACAAGTGCAGGGTATGAATACATGAAACTGATGGTGGCTGAACTAAACAGACAGCTGGAAGAATTAAATAGGA